CACGGCGGGTGTGACCGGTCGGCAGGGGATGCTCACTCCTCCATGGCACCTGATCCTCTGATGTTTCGGGGGTCCGTGTTTGCTCTGCTCTTATTTTGTATTGCTTTATGGACTTTGAGATTGAATAATGTTCGTTATCTCCATATCCTTCTTGCTCAAGTCGCTATGTTTTAATTGCTTATTTTTTATATGTATTTTATAAAGTCTTTGTTCTTTTTTGTATTGTTGTCCTCTGCTCTCTACCATATTCTAATGTTATTAAACATAGATAGTTTGAAAGAGAGCACTTAAATATAGAGACTTGAACAAGTCTATTCTTAGGAATATACGTTGATATAGGCGTCCTCTACTTTTAAGATTTTAGTAGATTTAGGCGTCTTAAGGTATTAGTAGACTTGAGTGTCCACAATTCCCAAGGAATAAGTAGATTTATTTCAGTGGTCTTGTGGTGTACCTTAAAGTTGTCCTTTATTCCACTTATTTAATTTGAATTAAGCGCCTTCTTAACAGATGATTTACACAGAATATAGTTGTGCTGATTTCTGACCCTGATTTAATGCAACAAATGTCCATCATTGACAAATAAATAATCCTTTTGACATATATCAGTGACAAGTTAAAAATCAACGAAAAGACAACAAATTATTTATGATTTTATTATAAAAAAGCACATTGTGACCCCGACCTAACCCCCGGGGATCATGACTTGAACAATTAAGAATTCACTTTATCCCAGGATGCTTCCACATAAGTTGAAGTTTTTCTGGCTTTTTAATAGCTTTCTTTAAAATTGACCCGCTGATTCTTGAAAATCAGTTGAATATGTGAAAAGTTTACAGACGGACAGACAGACAGACGGACTTACGACGAACAACTGGTCATCAGAAAAGCTCACTTGCATGAGCTTTCAGCTTAGACGTGCCCAAAATTACATAGTACAATCTACACAATATTGTTTTAAAAGCTGACACATTACAAAAACTTTTTGTACAGCATAAATGTGATTCTTTAAAATTGAAAAATTACTATTTGATTTGTACAACATTAATGTGGTATTAAAGCATGAACTAAATACAAAGTCTTCTTTGTACAACATTAATGTAGCATTAAAGCATTGCTAAATACAAAGTCTTATTTGTACAACATTAATGTAGTATTGAAGCATTGAGTAAATACAAAGTCTTATTTGTACGGCATTAATGTGGTATTGAAGCATTGACTAATTACATACTCTTATTTGTACTACATTAATGTGGTATTGTAACAGTGACTGATTACAAAGTTTTATTCATGCTACATTAATTTGGTAAAGTAAGAGTGAGTGACTACAAACTCTTATTTTTACAAAATTTAAAGAATTACTTAGGTCTGCTGGGTATGCCAGGGCATTAACGAAGTTGGCAAGGCAGATAATAAGAGAAAGTCCATTATTTATACATGTACTACGCTTCTAAACTGTCGTTAGTGTCCCTGGCATCCCCAACAAACTTGACTATTTACAAATTTGGACGTGATTCCTTATCTCAGGCCTTTGGCTCAGAAGAGCTAAAAATTTTAATAGATTTTTTAATCTATTTATTACAAATTTATTACAAGTTGAAATCAACAATATCTAAGATTCACATCAAAGTTGTTACACGGTTCCCGTTTTATTTTTTAAAGACAACTAATGGAACAATCGGATTTTTTTCCATTTGAATCAAGAATCAAGAACATTTTAAACTGATTTTTTATATGTTTTATGTAACAGTTAGAAAATTTGTTTGAAAAGCATATAAAATTAATAGATTCCAAGCTTCCAATACACCAATACATTAGTCTGTTGATTTCTTCGAATTTTATATTTGAATTTACGATGAAATATCGTCTAAACTATAATCGTTGGATCTCCGGCACTGTATTATCAGTTTTTACAATACTGGGAGCTGGGCAACTAAGAGGAAATATTTGACTACGTGCCTTATGCTTAGGTCCTAGTAATTCAATGTAAAAGGTTTAATTTTACTGAAAAAAGGCAATCAAATAATTAACCATAAAATGTAAAATGTCTTAATATTTGATACACAAAACAAAAATAACAGTGAGATTTATATACAATAGGGCATCGTTTTTAAAAAGAGAACTGAAACGGACATGTTCAAAGATGAAAGCACGGATTATCTTAAAGACAAGATGATCCAGTAATGTAAATAAAAGCTCATTTCCCCCTGGAACGAATTACATGCGTCTTTAGAGATTATGGATTTATCGAAATTTCCATCATCGAACTATCTAACCAATTTTACGGAACGATTGCATAAATAAGCCCTGGTCAAATCTAGTAATGTCTGACGCTGTGACATCAGACAATTATTTAATTATGTTATATGTTACTATTTCAAAAAACTACAAGATAGCAACCAATTGTCTTTTAAAGGTCTTACGTCGTTTAATCTCAATTTACTCTGAACTTTAGATGTAGCTTCTTAATTTCCTTGTGTAAGTACAGGATATAAAAAGGAAATCAAACAGAGAACACAGATGCTAAAGCTATTAATGGTAACAAAACGTGACTATCAACTTCATTATTACATATTATATATAACTACATGTATTTAATAATATTATTTTTAACTACTCAAGAGATAAACTGCAATTTAAAAAATAATTGCATTTTTAGGTCGAAACTCATTTTTTTATTACTTTAAGGACAAACGAGACGTTCCTCAATAATATATAATTTTTCCCAAGATTTTGTCATTGAAGAATTACTACTTTAACATGTTCACTCGTAAAAAATTGAGGTACCTTACCGGGCATTTGTGAGAGATACCAGAGGATGACATTTCTTATATAATCCTCTAGGGAAAAAACTTTGTTTGCCAAAATCACAATTTTAGTGTATCAATCTTTTAAAAACAATTAGAAACCGGCTTAGATATAAGAAATAATTTAAATGTTTTATAGTCTGGTCCTGATTTGTAAAAAGAAGGCTAGAAATAATTTCAAACGGCAAATAATTATTATTTAGTCAAGCATAGTTTTTTAACCTATTTCGAGTATGCTGAGTCCGAAAAAGTATGCTGGTCTTCAAGAAAATGGCATTAAAGAGGTCAAAATGGCCTTTCAAAATGGCGGACATCCAATTTTTCTAATTTTCTCTTAATGTCGTTCAAAATGGAGAAGTATTGAGTAAATATCTAACTGAGTGTAATAAAACAATAAAATAAATTTGATAGGTTGTTAATATTATTAGTTAAACTCAGAAAATGTAGTCAATTCTACACTTAATTCGAATTTTCTCTGATTTTTTGTCTATTGTTTCTATATTCATTTTTGTTCAGGATTTTACATTTGCAAATATCCATACACTGCAGATTTGTATTTTTTCCCTCTACATCTCACTATTTTACAACTGAATGATGGTGCAGCTGTATATAAAAAGTCAAAATGGCGATTCTAAATGGCGGATATTCACCTTTTTTACTTCAAGTTCTTTAACGCAGAGGGAATAAGGAAGCATACAAAATATTCTACCTTGGATAAATCAGTGCTGCATTATGACGTCATAGTAGGCAAGATGACGTCAATTTTAGAAATCAGGTTTTCGTAATATTGGTATTTAGCTATGTAATTTAACTCTAGAAAGTGATTTGAAACGTGTAAACATTAACAAAAATAAAATGTTTTTATTTTGTTATGCTGCAGCAGTCATTATGATTGAAATCTACCACCGATGACGTCATATGTGTACATCATGTAACTTGGAAATTGATCATGTCGTGTAAAGAGAATTTGGCTAATACGGCATGTTCAAAGATACGTTTAATGGAGTTTAAAAGGAAATATAGGAAATATTGCGTTAAATTCATATGGAGTTCAATTAATTAAACAGGTATGCTAATTTATTTTCATCGATTATATTCTCTTTCGAAGACAGTCACCTATATTACCTATCCCGGTCGGCCTATCGTCCGTCATTCTTGAACAACAATTGCAACAGAACAACAATAAGCTGGATATTTCAAAACATACGATTTGTACAGATTGAAAGTTTGCGTTTTGACAAACTTGGAAAGTGCTGCTAGAATCCCGAGTTAAGCATGGTTGTACAAAAAATCTCGATTCATATGTATAAAATTAAAAACAAAGGGTAAGGTTTCGTGCGAATGTGTGGAATAAATATTTTACGGACAATATAGTGGGATTCTAGCAGCACTTTTTAGACAAAATAGATGTTTTTCAGCTATATTACATACTAAAAGAAATTATCAAACTCCGGGTTATTGTTGTTCCGTAAGTCTTTTAATTAAGGAATATTTTGCTATAAATAGAAGTCACGTGATGCCGTGGCGGTGATGCAAGTCTTTGCGTTAGACACGCTTTTATCTGTATGCAGTAGTAATTAACAGTTTACGTTTATCAGTGGTTTTGGTAATTTATTAAACTAAATTTTCTTCAAAAAGTCTATATTTCCCGAGAAATTACTAATATGCTTCCTTAACATACCCGCGAATCCTTAATATCGTTTACCAAGGCGGAAGGATTTGTGAATATCTTACTGAGCGTAGTACAGCTGTGTAAAATGCAAACAGAACACTAATTTAATTTGAGCACTTAAAATAAATGGGAAAATTTAGTCGTTTAAATTTGAAATGTGTTAATTTGCTCAAAATGGCAATTCAAATGACGTCTTATACACTTGAATTTCGTAGAAACTGCTTAATTTTGGGTTGAATACCCAATCTGCCTAATTCTGGTTCGTTTTGCAGAAAATAAATTACAGTTTTTTTAATTCATGAAATGTGTTCAAATTGCAATTTAAGTTGGAGGATAATTTTGTTAATGACTTAGGATATTTATAACACAGATTTTTGTTTAATTACTTCTATTGTTAAGAGATATTTTTGACGACAATTCCGAAGACATTTTACCTAGGATATATGGATAAGTAGTCCCGGTAAAATATTTTCATACGCCAAATTTGAATTAATGCGCGTTGTTGAATAATAAAAGGGAATTTACAAAAATTGTTTCAGCAGAAGACGGGTTGACAGGTCAACAAGTTGAGAGGATGACAGGTCGACGGGTTGACTGGCCGACTGGTTGACAATTCGACATGTTGACAAGTTGACTGGTAGACAGGTCGACGGGTTGACAGGTCGACTGGTTGAAAGGTCGACGGGTTGACTGGTTGACGGGTAGACAGGTCGACGGGTTGACAGGTCGACAAGTAGACGGGTAGACAGATTGACAGGTCGACAGGTTGACAGATCGATGGGTTGACAAGTCGACTGGTTGACAGGTTGACGGGTTGACTGGTAGACGGGTAGACAGGTGGACGGGTTGACAGGTCGACGGGTTGAGAGGTCTGTGGGTTGACAGGTCGAGGGGTAGACAGGTCGACGGGTTGACAGGTCGACAGGTTGACATGTCGACTGGTTGACAGGTCGACGGGTTGCAAGTTGACGGGTACACGGGTCGGCGGGTAGACAGGTCGACGGGTTGACAGGTTGACAGGTCGACGGGTTGACAGGTGGACGGGTGGACGGGTTGACAGGTCGACGGGTCGACAGGTCGACGGGTTGACAGGTCGGCGGGATGACAGGTCGACGGGTCGACAGGGATGACAGGTCGACGGGTAGACAGGTCGACGGGTTGACAGGTGGACGGGTAGACAGGTGGACGGGTCGACGGGTTGACAGGTCGGCGGGATGACAGGTCGACGGGTCGACAGGTCGACGGGTTGACAGGTCGGCGGATTGACAGGTCGACGGGTAGACAGGTCGACGGGTTGACAGGTTGACAGGTCGACGGGTTACAAGTTGACGAGTCGATAGGTCGGCGGGTAGACAGATCGATTGGTTAACCCCTAGGTTGGATAGAGGAATAACCCTAATCTATCATGTTTGATAACTAACCCTAATCTCTCAAGTGGGTTTTGGAACTAACCCTTATATCTCACGTGGGTTCTGGAACTAACCTTAATATCTCAGGTGGGTTCTGGAACTAAACCTAATCTCTCAGGTGGATTCGAGAACTAACCCTAATCCCTCAGGTGGATTCGAGAACTAACCTTAATCTCTCAGTGGGTTCGAAACTAACCCTAATTTCTCAGGAGGTTCTTGTACTAAACCTAATCTCTCAGCTTGGTTTGAATACTAACCCTTATCTCTCAAGTGGATTTAAAAACTAACCCTTACATCTCAGATGGGTTTAAAAATTAATAAGAGGTGTCAACTGTCAACCTGTCGACCTTTGGGATAATATTGTAGGTTAACCAATAAGAGGTGTCAACTGTCGACCTGTCGACCTTTGTGGTGACACTGTTGATTAGTAACATTAGACCCTTTTAATGTCAATGTAGGTTCAATGTGGAATTGACAAACATTTTCTAACGGGGACTTCTTATGGACTATTTTTAAAAGGATTTATTTGAAGTAATAAGGCAAATTATTCCCACTATCTACTATAAAAGGAACTATTTCTTATCAAATTTTAAATTTGATAGATGTTAATCGGTTTTATGGAACTACTTATCCGTATACCCTAGTTGAACCAACCTGTCTCACTATACTTCTTCATATAAAAAGTACAAAAATAATTGCTGTTCTGAGGACAATATGAAAATTAAGCTACCCCAAGAGCAGTATTCCCCGAACATTAAGGCATCTGATCATTCAGTTGGAAATCCTTGATCTATGTTTAGTCCAGTTGCACAGTGTGGAAATTTTTTTTTATGTTTATGTGGAAGATCTAGGTAAAATAACTTAGTATGATTTTTTAAATGATTAACCACGACCAATTAGAGGGGTAGTAATTGTTGCATCATATTAATCTAAATATATTATAATATCCAATGTAAACATACATGTATTTATTAAGAATTATCAATATAATATCCGTAAACCATACATTTTCTTGATTGTCCATCTCTGATTCTGCATGTGTCCCTACATTTGCATTTTTTTATTCTCAGTCAAAGATTCAACTGCATTCTCAAATAATAGATCGAAATCAAGAATGGCTTAGGCCTTTTGGTACGAAAGCTTGTAAGTGATAGGAATCACGAGGAATCTGCAGGAGCTCTTAAATTGCATAATTTTACAACTTTTCTGACCAAAATATGCTCACGATGTGATTCAAGATAATAAAGTTTGAGAATTTTCTTGCTAATAGAATGACCTTTATACCCCAAAAAACAACAAATCTATATGAGGTCACAAAATAAAGGGCTACATGTCTTGAATATCAGAGATTTTTTTATACCCCCCGCTTGAAAAGCGTCAGGGTATAGAGTAATCGGTATGCCCGTCCGTCCGTCTGTTACGCTTTGGGGTTCCTATCTCTTATCCGCAACTCCTCTCATACCACTGAATGAAATTTGATGAAAATTTCACAGAATCTTTATAACATATTGCCATTGTGGCCTCAAATTTTACTTTTTGATCCAACACATATCTTGGGTTTTCCATAGCAAATAATGGACACGTTTATTATATTCATATGGGAGACAGGGGTATCATTTAGTGAGCTGTCGAGTCGGCAATTTTTCAGCCATGTTTCGGCGGACTATCAGTTTAAATCAATTTTTGAAGGATTTTTGTTTCTCTGGCGGCCCCCAATGAGCTTATTCTTTTTTCGAACTACAGAGAAACGATCTTTTACGTGCCCAGGGGGTTGTCATCCTTGACACGGGGCACCATTTTACTTCAGTATTGAAAATACCAAAATTCCGAAGACATACTGAAACATATAGCAAAATAAGCTGGGATAGAAGATGTTAGGGGATAATACTAAGTTCTTATAAGTGCTAAAAAGCTAGAACAAAGTTTTCGATGAAGAAGACAAGAATTTCTACAGTTATATATGATGGTCTGCCGAGGGATGTTGAAGTCGAAGTGCGAGTTGATGAAAGGATTTAGGAGTGATTTTAGGTGGACGGGGGCTCAAAGCCTTTAAAATACAGTCAAATACGAAGGGAAAAAAATTTGGAAACTCTTAAGTCGAGTTTGTTTAAACTATTTCCAGAAAAAAAATTATCTTTTCAAGTATGTTTTGTTTGTTCATATTTAATGGACTAATCAATATAATGTATATATACACAATATATATAAAAACAAGCTGTAATTATTTATTTTCTGCAAAACGACTCAAAATTAAGCAGTTTCTACGAAATTCAAGTGTATAAGACGTCATTTGAATTGCCATTTTGAGCGAATTAACATATTTCAAATTTAAACGACTAAATTTTCCCATTTAAAGTGATCAAATTAGTGTTCTGTTTGCATTTACAAAGCTGTACTACGCTCAGTAAGATATTCACAAATCTTTTCTCCTTGGTAAACGACATTAAGAAATAATTTGAAAAAATAAATGAATATCCGCCATTTTGAATCGCCATTTTGACAATTAACTTATAGCTGCACCATAATTCAGTTGTAGAATAGTGGGATGCAGAGAAAAAATACAAATCTGCAGTGTATGGATATTTGCATATGTTCTAAAATCCTGAACAAAGCAGAATATGAAACACTAGACAAAAATTCAGAGAGTATTCGAATTAAGTGTAGAAATGACTGAATTTTCTGAGTTAAATTAATAATGTCAGCATTCTATTATCATTTTTATACTTGTATTACACTCTTTGAGATATTCTCACATAATTTCTCCATTTTGAGTGACATTAAGAGAAAATTAGAAAAATTGGATGACCGCCATTTTGAATCGCCCTCTTTAACGCCATTTTCATGAAGTCCAACATATTTTTTCGGACTCAGCATACTCGAAATAGGTTTTAAAAAACCATGCTGGACCAAATAATAATTATTTGCCGTCAGAAGTATTTTTTCTATAAATCGGACCAGACTATTATATTTTCATACATTATGAAGATGTACTAAAGAGATATCTTGGAAACGTATCGTTTGGCCTTAATTAATATGAAATTTAGATGTAAAGTCTTAATTATTTCATTTAAACAAATAATGATAAAAGTCATACATGGCGTAATTTTGATAAGTTTACTATTGATTTAGTATGTCTCTTTAAATAAAAAGGGAACTTTCATGTAAATTTCACAATTTAAATCAGTTGTGTTTCGTAAATATCACAAATTTAAAACAATTACCAATTAATTTCAGAATTTATTCGTAGACAAAGTTTAAATTCAATTTAGCTTAAAAAAAACGTGGCTGTCAGCAACACAGTGAACAAGGACAACTCTGAAATATTGCAGATATTCTAAAGTAATTAGCTATGTGTTTTATATGCTAGATCATCTAATAATCAAAGTACTGAGAGCACTGATAGATGGTGGAATCAATATATTGATTGTTTGCTTTTGTTTACTTGTCATGTTTTACGGCCTATCGAAGATAATTTATTCCTACTCAGGCGCCACCACGTGCTGGCGGAGAACTAAAATATTGAATTGACCTGCATGTGTACTCGGCACTTACGGTTTTGAGCAGTGACAGATCATGCTCGTATCAGCACTTATAGACTCGTATTACTTATAAAAAAAATACTTCTAACGGCAAATAATCATTATTTGGTCCAGCATGGCTTTTCAACCTATTTCGAGTATTCATTCTAAATACGAAAAAATATTACTGTAACAATGACATTGATGTCTCAAAGTGGGTTTATACTCATTACATTAGAAAAAGTAATACATGTTAATTACATTAAGTTTTCAGATACATTCTACATATTGAAATATGTATATACGATAAATGTGAAAAAGCTTTCCTTATTGTGTAGTGTTTTTTAAACAATTTATATAATGTTCATATTTAGAGGGCGAAATGCTAGTTCTGTCAAACGTACATAAAGCAAACAGCAAGGAACAGTTAATTTTGTTTGGGTTCAAACTTAATTTATTAGGTTCGTTTAGTTAACAACACATTTCAAAATCATGGGAAATGGAATTCACTTTCTTGTAAACGTTAGTTTACGTTCATTATAACATGTTTTATGTTAAGCTTTTATATGTTTTACTATATCGTTCTCAGAAAAAAAAACAAGATCATCACAAAATAAAGAATATAAATAAACACTAGAAAACACAAAAAAGTCATTGAAAGTAGGTTCGTTTGTATCATTATGTAGAACTGCTTTTCCATTAACTCGGGCGTTTGTGTCTTATCATCATAACAGTACTTTGTAGTGCTCTGTATCCGTTTGTCCAGCTATACCAATACGGACTTTTATGGCTGGTCACCGCGGACAGTGCATACTTCCCGTTAAGATTTGAGTTTGTACATAAATGGTACCACCATGCACCTTGATGATTTATAGCACAGTTGTAACTAGCTTTATTATCATTATCTTGGTCCTTTGTAGTGAATCCCATACCATTATGTGGACCCAAACTATCACCTAAAGCTGAAATTGGAAACAATAACAAAAACGGGTAAAATGGGTTAAATTGCGTAGTGTACTAATTACATACAAATGTGTTATATATTATTTTTATATAGCATATCATACTTTCTTAGATAAAACTAGTATCAAAGGCATTCTAATTTGTGTGTATGTACGTTAAATCATGTATTTCTAAAAATGTATTTTGATTACTGATAATATCACAGGTGGTTTTAAGTGGGTCGATTGTTTTTAGTCATTTTGCGTCATATTTGCTAAAAGTATGATTATAAAAGTAATCATTCCGAAATGATTCCACGTACATATTTGGTGTATTAGCATTGTAATACTGAATATTCAAGGATCGAGATAAAATTCACCCATGTTATACAGTATAACCTTGAAAGTTTGAATGGAACATTTAACGCTGTAAAGACATTAAATGATCTTTTTAAAGATTAAAATATTGCAATCGAATTTTTACCGTCTTCCTTGGAAGATAGTAAAATATAGTTGAGGTATTTTACAGTCTTCGGACTCTGCGCTTCCCCTCTTCTGTGATTGGTAAAAATTGCATAATGAGAAAATTTTCAATTATTTCATCGGTTGAAATGCTGTTCAAGGCAAGAGAGATAACTTTCTGATAGTCTAATTTTTGTACGACTTAACAATTTTTCAATATTTCCAATCTTAAAAAAATGACAAAACGAACAACAAAATCAGCAGTAATTAATTCTAAATAACAATTTTTTTAATAGCAATAACTAAACAGGTCTCTTTATTTTCATCACGTTGCAAATAAGATTTTATTTCTATTGCTTGCTGGCTTCACAAATCTTTTCCCCTCATTTGTTTGAAGAAGGTAACATTTAATGGAGTCGGCCGGGGTTTGCCGGAGGTCTCAATCAGTTTACGAAGATGAATATTCAACTGCAATAGGGCTAATACCAGTAAAAATCTAATGTAGAAATACGAAATCAAGAAATTCAAAAGAATTATACGACTTGAAAGATGTAAATTAATTTATTGTTGAAGGTTGTTGCTAAAGACGTTAAGCTTTTTTAAAAAGCTTTACTTGTTTACAAGTTTAACTTGAGCAGATATTATTTTTTATCCTCATAATATACTTTTTATCATTTTAAAGAGTAAATATACAGATATATCCTCTAAAAAAGTCTCCATAACGTACAAAATTAAATTGTGACGTCAAGTAAACTCTCTCTCTCTCTCTCTCTCTCTCTCTCTCTCTCTCTCTTAATGTAAGTCAAATTGTGACGTACGCAACAAACGTAACATTACATAAACTAGTTTTTTAGTCCAGTCAAAATAATCTGATTTAATTTACGAACAGTTTTTCAATCTCTTGTAATGACTGAACGTTATGTTTTAGACTATTTGGTAAGATCGATAGATATACACCTACCTGCGGTTCCTGAATACCCCGATACAGTGAGTATGTATTTGCTGTCTTCATTGCCGATATAAAATGTGGAGTACTTAGCGTATGCTTTTTCGCCATTAAATCTTTGTAGCTCAACCCGGAGTTCCTGGTCCTTGTGTCTAGTCAACACATAGATTGCGTCATTTCCTTAAAAGAGGGAAAAAACAGGCACATAACTTTATGGTACATAATTTTTGTGCTTTGTTGACATGTAGACAAAATTAATATTCTATTACTAAACAGACTATTTTTCCCAATCATTTAACTAAGCGTGTTGCAAAAAAATTTCTGTTAATGTGACATGGTTTACTGTTCAATTTTACTTGGAATGTATAGAGTATTTTTATAAAACACCTGGGAGATGACCATAAAATAACGTTTAAGCTGTATGACCATGAATTTTAACCAACGGGAAAAACAATTTCATTCTAAAGAATATTTTTTCAATTATTTTTCCTGTTATTAGCAGACCTATTTTTATATTCATATGAAGCAGAATTTGTGTAAAATCTTATGCGTAAAAAGAAGAAAAAACTTGCTGTGGCCTTCACCTCGACATTTAGATATATCGACGACGTATTGTCAATTAACAATGGCAATTTCCATTCCAATGTCAATACGATATATCCTGGTGAGCTGGAGATAAAAGATACCACATGGTCTGACACATCTCATTTATACTTGGATATTGAAAAAAGACGTAAATGGTAATCAAAAAACCATGCTCTATGATAAACTTGATGACTTTAACTTTGTATACATCTCAGTTGATTCGATACGCAAGAGCATGCTCTACGCATGGACAATTTCTAAAACAAGGTAGATACTAGTAATTGACAAACAAGTTGATGAAACAAGAATTCAGCAGTGTCGTTAAAAAATCATTGTTTCGTAAGTTCTATGGTCGATACAATGGCATTGTCAGCAAACACAATTTATCATTGAGTCAGTATGTTCAAAGTAAAGAAGTATGGACGATAATTATTACATTTTTTGTCACATAAAATGTGTTTAGACTGCATTTACAGTGGATGTTGAGATGTTCCATACCTAACCAGTAGTTTTTAGAGGCATTCCCAAACCCTTCTTTGTACTCGTTCCATGTTCTGTAAAAATCCAAGTCGCCATCTTCTCTTTTCTGAATTGTCTGTAAACAACATTTATAAATTTACTTATTTGCTTCTTGTAATAAAAATTGACACTATAATTTTCTTTCCTACTAATTTGTTGTGGAATGGAAAAATACCAGCTTTTCGCTACTTTTTGAATATCGAACATGACAGGAGAATGATAATAAGCGTTCTGTTTTTGTTTTTACGTAGTTAATAAACAATTTTGTCGCATTCTTGGTTTGTTCAGGTAACTAAAGAAGATTGTTTTCATTTTGTAAAAAAAAAAAAATGAAAAAGTGCAAACGTATATTGTATCAGGCTTTTGGATCGGGATCCATATAATTCATATATTTTCACATTCAATATTGTATTCCGATCATAACTTATAAAAACACCTAATTCAGAATATTTAAATTATTTACAAATTAAATCACTATTCCGTACTCACCGTCAACTCCCTCCATATGTCGTCATGTCACAGTATACCTCTCTACAGATATTCTCTATGTATAACATTGACAATGATCCCACTACTTACCGTCCAATAGGTGTTGTCAATGTATAACATTGACTATAAAACACACAACCCACCGTCCACCCTCCTCCATCTGTCGTCATGTCACAGTAGACCTCTCTCCAGGTGTTGTCGATGTATAACATTGACAATAAAACACACTACTCACCGTCCACCCTCCTCCATCTGTCGTCATGTCACAGTAGACCTCTCTCCAGGTGATGTAGATGTATAACATTGACAATAAAAACACACTACTCACCGTCCACCCCCCTCCATCTGTCTTCATAACACATTAGACCTCTCTCTAGGTCTTGTCGATGTATTAATTTGACAATAAAACACCACTCACAGTCCACCCTCCTCCATCTGTCGTCATGTCACAGTAGACCTCTCTCCAGGTGTTGTCGATGTATAACATTGACTATAAAACACACTACTCACCGTCCACCCTCCTCCAGCTGTCGTCATGTCACAGTAGACCTCTCTCCAGTTGTTTTTCCTGTATAACATTGACTATAAAACACACAACTCACCGTCCACCCCCCTCCATCTGTCTTCATAACACATTAGACCTCTCTCTAGGTGTTGTCGATGTATTAATTTGACAATAAAACACACCACTCACAGTCCACCCTCCTCCATCTGTCGTCATGTCACAGTAGACCTCTCTCCTGGTGTTGTCGATGTATAACATTGACAAAAAAAACACTACTCACAGTCCATCCTCCTCCATCTCTGGTCTCGTCACAGTTGATCTCTCTCCAGGTGTTGTCGATGTATAACATTGACAATAAAACACACTACTCAGCGGACACCCTTTTCCATCTGTTGTCGTTTCACAAGATACCTCTTTACAGGTGCTGTCGATGTTTAACATTGACAATGAACACACTACTCACCGTCCACCCTCCTCTATCTGTCGTAATGGCACAGTAGACCTCTCTCCAGGTGTTGTCGATGTATAACATTGACTATAAAACACACTACTCGCCTTCTACCCTCCTCAATCTGTCGTCATGTCACTGTAGACCTCTCTCCAGGTGTTGTCGATGTATAACATTGAGTATAAAACACACCACTCACCGTCCATCCTCCTCCATCCGTCGTCATGTCACAGTAGACCTCTCTCGGCGTGTCAAGGTAAATAACATAAACTCCATCTTGTCCTTTTTTACTAGGGTTTCCTTTCAAAATCTCTGAACAATCTTCTATTTAAAGTATGAAATATATGAAGGTAACGAACAACATTCAAGATCAAAAGTTTATTCAAACAAAACAAATGAGGTGCAGAGCAAACACAAAGAGCTAAATCCACGAATGTGCTAAATTGGCCTAATGATTTTAGGAAAAATAAAGTGAGGGGAAGAAGAAAATTATTTACGGAAATATTATCATTAGGTATCAAACTTGAATAGTTTACGCCAAAATTTTCATTTGATGACGTCATATTTGTGCAGAAAACGTCTAAATACGTGAACTTTGCCACTTTTTATCAAAATTTAGCATTTTTTTCGTCTTTGATTCAAATATTTGCTGTGGCCACACCCTTTGAACAAAATAAAATTCACACCATTAAAAAGAAAATTAAAAAATGAACAAATAGAGTGTTATCTTATTTTGTTCGAGGGGTGTGGCCACATCGAAATATTTAATTTTCGTTCGATTCAAATCTCTTCGCACCGACCACCAAAGTGGAAATAATGGGGGTTTACCCAAATTAATTAATAAGAAACAAGATTATATGTTGCTTTTGTAAATTTTAATTAGATTTTAAATGCAAATATACCATTTATTATAAGTTATTTTGTTTTGTGGTGCAAAAAAAAAGTACGAAAGTCTCTCGGAGTCTCTATGTAAGACTATAAGCATGACTGCATGAAGATGCAATTTATAATGGTGACTCATTCCTAACCCAAGACTTTTTAGTCAAGCGCAGCTGATCTTGCTTTACGTTATCGTTGATTTTGCTGAAATATTTTTAAAAAATGGATACACTTTCCCCCAAATCTTATTTATTTTACAAACAATGTATTGAATTTTATCTCCCGATCTCGTCTCCATGGTCACTATGTAATCAAAGGGAGATCACCCGAGAAACTTTATTGTGACACCATTAGTCCTAGAATATATTTTTAACATAAATAATAAGTGTACATCGGTAGCAACTACCAGGATGTATATATAAACTGAAAATTCTTGTTTTACCCCTTTACAAAAAACAAATTGTGTATGTCGTGAAGTCTGCATCGATTGGCTTCATAAATGATAAAAATGATTTACGTTTGGCTGAGTCAAGATACATGTGCACAAAGCCACAGGCCCTATCCAAAACCAATATCCATTTTAGAAACTGCTGTTGGCATTTCAAGAAGACTGCTTAATTTTAAAAAGTTTATTATCAAAAATATTTTCCGATCCGAGAGTTTATAACATATGTAGGCCTAACGAAGTATTGAACCTAGAAAATTCGAGTTGAAAATTCAAATAGATCAATTGAAATAAACAATTTGCAAAAATATAGATCTATTGATTTTTTATCGCATGTAATTTTTGTGATGGGCCTTTATTAGACTAATTAATAACATGTACATTGTAAAAACGAAAAACTTACTGCATGTACCGAGATATTGACAGCTCTTTATGGTTGCAGGTCGCCTTCATGCCACATGAAAAAAAAGTCAAAGGGAGGCTACTTGTTTATCTCTTTTTATTTTGAGTTACTCCTCTCAAATGTAACCTGTTCAACTACAGGTCTAATGGAAAGAGGGCAGTCAAGATTAGCAAGCCAGTTTATAGTAGAGTACATTCTTATAGGAGATAGAGCCTGGACATAAAATGAGAAGCTAGTAGAGAGTGAGGTCTTCTAACGAAAAAAATTAGCCTGAGGGTAATGGGGGGGGGGTTCGGATCCCCACAATATCACTCGTATTAAATGACGTATGACAAATCATTACTGATGTGTGACAAATACATGTAACAATGCAGATAACTTTAGTACGTGTTTATAAGACAATGATATATGCAATGAATATGCCAATAAAGATACTGCAGGGATACACTAATATTTAAAAAAGAAATTAATAATTGAATTGCATTTTCATTTAATTTTAAAAATCCGTACGATAAAAAATTAGGAACGTTACTGATGTTTCGTGCCTTGGTCATTTAATTAATTCATTATACCGGTATGTCTCAAATGTATTACATGTAGCATAAACGGATTGAACTGGTAATTTTACCTGTCCGTGATTTTCGTTTTCTTGAAATAACGTATAGAATATTACATCATAGATAGGGCGTTTGTCTCTGATTCATTCAACATGGTATCGGGGGGAGGGGGGTGGGCTGGTATGGTTAGGTAGTATATTGCTTGACATGTTGTCAGGATATGAATTACAGTGCCGAAATTTCTCATATATTGTAATAAGTTTTCAGAAAAGAAGTCCTAGACAAATTAGTTTCAAATGCTAAAACGATTTTTTCACCCCGCATATATATATTTTGAAATAAACATCGGCGTTGTCACATGACAAAGAATCATGATATTAGCACGTGAAGCTAGTTTCATTTATTATACCACAACTAAATTTTCCCTATATAAAATTAAGTGATTAGATCTGAACAATTCCATAACAATCGCTGTGAATCACCTAATCCTCGTGCGTTAGTTTTTGAGCTAATCTCTTCGTCGATAGCTACATGTAGTCAAGCTAATCCTCGTGCGTTAAAGCTAATCCCTCTGTCGAAAGCTAGTCATTTTCATTGGCGGTTATCCGTAATCCTCTAGTTTTTCAATAAATATAAATTTTGATTTTATTCAGTTATGAGAATATTGATAAGATATATAATCTGTTAATATTAAAATATTCTTTTTTAAAAAAGGCTAAACCCCCCTATTTCAACACGCACATGATGCAGTGTAATCAAAAAAGGGGAAGTGTAGATTTCTAAAATTAAGAGTGGTACTGAGAGAAGTTTGATAAAATTTTTCACTTTGATTATATAACGTTTTTATCGTTCATTGGTGGATTTATTTCAATTAAGTAATTTACATTAAATAATTAGTCTACGTGCCATTTCCGTTTAACCATCTTCTCAAGCCCTTAGCTAGCGAAAATGGTGGTTATCTTTTTTTTAACTTTTATAACTTTTATTTTCTGCGAAAAGGTCTGTTGATTATGCATTGTACATCATTTGTTAAGTTTTTATGGTCTCTGATATTAAAATAATTGTTTGTTTTCTCATTATGGTAATTTTTGCCCTTTCCGCTGCCCATAAGGGAGGGTCTCCAGACAGAATTTCACTGATGCACGTACATGGAATTGCCATTGGTATTTGGTTAAACGGCAATAAATCTGGTACATATACATGAGATATATGGGACCTTTTATAAACAAACTCTTAAGTTATTCAAGTGCATGTAAGTACATGTATGAAATCTTTTCAATGGTCTGTATTGATAGCATCATTCAATACTACCAGAAGATGTTTGTCCGTATGTTTTGTCTATCAGGAGACAGGATCCAAGTAGCATTCTTCTTAGTTCGGGCCTGCAGGAAGCAATTACAATTACAGTTGGGTGGGGGGAGGGGAGGGGCACCGTCACATTTCTTCAGCTGGGGTTCGCTATCAACTACCACAATTTAATTCCTTAACAGGCAAAAAAAAGAAGTCATCAGAAGTATTATTGAAGGGACACAAGCATATACTACCTACGTTTTCTTAAGTATTCTATATATCGGCAAAATTAGGGGGGAGGCAAGGTTCAAGATTAATTGCTAAAGTTGCTCTTTTTGCTCTCATCATTTCCATGCACCTATTATGTTGCAATATTTCATTGGAGACGTCTCGCAATCTGCTTGAAACTTATTAAAGTGCATTCAAATTGACGATCTGATAAATGACGTCTTCAAACTTTATCAACTTTTCAACATGATTTTTTATTTAATGTTTATAATATACATGTATGTTATGTATTCTATACGTATTCTCGGGTGAAACCTTTTTGATTGCTTTTTTCCTTTTATAAATATTAACTATTTTTGTGAATTTGGATTCTCACAATAGGAAAATACTAAGCGGAATAAAGTCCTTAACATTATTTATTTAAGAAAAATAACTTTTAATGAAAAATTACATCTAAACAATTGCTGAAAATTTCAGCTTAGTACACGTGCACTTTCTTTTTTCACAACAAAAACAACACCACCCCCACCTCACCATCCCTAAAACACTCGATAAAGTATTCAATATTTATTCTAATCCTACTCTTGTGGATTATTTTCCATCAGAGTAAATTTGTTACCTCTTATAAATAATTTCAACGTCATGATTTTAACGTGTTTAACGTCAACGTCATGACGTCATAGTATTTCATTCGAAAATACAATGCTTATTTAAAACACCTGTAAAAAGAAAACTATAAAAGATATTGTTAAAAAATAAAGTGTTTTACAACGTACACATACTAGACTATCATTTAACAAAAATTCATAAATTTTAAATACGGTGCGGATTTTGATGCTTCGTGGCTCTAGTTCTTTCTAAAACACCAGACACCAACATCAGTGACAAGAAGTTTTGAATTCCTTCTTCAATATCATTTGTGAGTTTGAATATTTTAATATTCACAACAATAAAATGAATTTGAAAATCAATATCTACAAATGTATATTGGATTCCGAAACTTCAAAATAATCCTTACAAACAAAGTTGAATAACAGTAGATGTTCTACCAAACACTTTTCTTTACTCCTCACTGAAATAATAACAGTAGTGAAGGAGTACTGTGCAACTATATATTCGAAAATGGGTGGGTAGGTTAACAATACCTATGACGTTCTTTTAAAATTAAAAGGAAGGGTTTTGATTAATTGATGATCCTGTGACCAACCCAACCGACCCTAACATGCGTCCAAAAAATTGTGAACGTTCAAAGATGACATAGAATCCATTTTGTTAATAAACGTGAACGTCAGTATATCCTGATATTAAATACAAATTGAAGAGGATTTTATCTTAGGGAATAGGCACAACTATTACTCGAGTGATTCTGAGATTCTGTAAACCTTAAACTGAATATTGTTGATACATGTCAATTTTAATTAAAATAAAAAGAATTAACATCTTTAAAAATAAATACTACATTTTTAGGAACATACTGAATGGAGTACAAGACAGCAGCAGTATTACAAATTACTTTCATAAGATACCAAACAATTATTACTGCAC